CCTCAGTTATACATATATTGGTCATAGACGACGCTGTATTCGTACTCAATGGTGGTAAGTTACTCGTGATGTCTGTGAACACCAGTGTAAAATAATCATACACTCATTTACTATATCAATTTCATTTTCAATTATAAGGCCCTTACTATCCTGCAAATTAGTGATTTCAGCTTTTAGAACTCTTTTGGAATTAAAAAATTGGAAGAGACTTTTATTGTCATCCTTAGCCTCCAATGCAATCTTTCTTTCTACATTCCTCTTAGAGTGTCTAATGTTATTTTTTAACTCAACCTGTAGACTTAGATACTCCTGCTTTATTTTTAAATAATTAGCTTTTCCTCCTGACTTTATTCTTAATTTCCAGAGTAAACCACCTTGGTTGCAGTTTTCTAGATTTAGTTTTTCTGGAAACAGGTATGAAGTCCTCTTGCACTTGCAACAATGTGCTTTTAAAAAATTCCCATGGCTCAACAGTTTTGCTATTTAACTCCGTCCAGTTTACAGTTTCTAGTTTCAGTCTCATACTGTTAAAGGTAGCCTTCCTCACATTGTATTCCACACTTTTGTTTTGGACTTTGCTCTTCAGACACTAAAATTAACCTCAAATTTAACTATTCTATGATCACTACCTTCCAGTGGCTCTAAAACCTTTAATTTTCCAATCCTATCCTGGTTATTAGAGAAATCAAGACGAAGAAGGGCTTCTCCCCTGGTTGGGGTATTAAACTGAGTAAAAAAACAATCCTGTACTAATTCCACCATCTCACATTCATTTACAGAGACTATGTACCACTTTATCCCAGGTAAATTAAAATCGCCCATAACCACCACATCATTTTTATTACTCATAATCCTGATATCGTCATATAACATTCTGCTTTCCTCTGTAGCTACATTAGCCTTTTTAAGTAAACACGTTGCTGAAAATATTTAACAATTTTATATATGTCTTGAGTTTTCTATTTTATGAAAAACAAAACTTTCGCATTATCAAAATTTGACATGATCAAGAAGTTTTCAACATTGAAATGCTGTGTTAAAACAATGAAAATGATAATTGTATTTAAATATATCCTGATATTAACTGTTACCTGGATAAGGCGCCATGTGAATTTTAAAATACCTTTAAAGTGTAGCTATTTTTAAAGATCTGCCGATGTAAAATAAGATAAATTATTGGGACAAACGACTCTGCTTCCAGTGAGCGCAACGGAATTTCCAAACGTTTAATCCACGGTCGTTGCGTTTAAAAAAATGCTTCAGATCATGAATGAGCAAATAAATTATAGTTCATTCTAAACGTACAACTGAAAAGCTAATAGCCCTCAATACTAACACATAATCAGTAACGACTCCTGTTTGAGACCGTGTTTAGTTTATTTAATCTAAATGTTAAAATTTGATTGAATCATTCAGTATATAACGTTTGTCTTCAATATTTTAATAGTCATTTGCATATTTGCAAGCTACATATTACAAAATGCAGTTGGAATGAATACCTCCAAAGTGATAAATTAGTTAAATTTGTGTTCTTATGCTAAAACCCTGGGTCCCTTTAAATCAGAGCTACATAAGATTTTAACAACTCCGAGCTATTAGGTAAGTTCTTCCCAAATGAGCTTGATGGGCCGAATGGCCTCCTCGTTTGTAAATTTATGTTCTTTTAATGCAGCTGTTGTTCACAGGAAAGATCGCCACAAGTTCACTTTTTTAATAACAGGGATATATTTTGGCATTCTGTTGTTTTTAAATGGAAATTTCTAGATTATTTCTTCTTCTTAGACTGCTAATATTCTTCAAGTAACAAAGTACGTTGGTCAAAGCAAAAAAAGCTAACCTTTTTCTGATTCAGCATAGGCTTCAGTAGCAGGGACTTAATCACTGCTGTGTGGGTTGATGAGTCTCCAGTGAGTGTGGGGCTCTATGTAAAATGAATCCTCCTCCATCACAGGTGAATCACAGTGTATATTCACAGCAGCTCACAGAGACGATCACAAGCAAAACAACGTACAAGGAAGAGGAGCTCAGAGAACAGCGTAGTGAGGGACTGAGCATGTTACACTTGACATCCTGGCGTGCAAAGTGAGGAATCATGGCCTTGTGTGTTAAAAATGAATCTGATCTGGGCTGCACCCATACAGGGGATA